GAATAAATTCTGCTTCATATGAATGCAAAAATAGGTCTGCTAATAACGGGGCGCAATTGGTACCCATGGGAATTCCAACAGATTGTTGGAAGACCTGGTCTCCAAAAACCAAATAGATGTTATCAGTCAGAAACTAGAGCATCTTTTTAATATCAACTTCAGAGAACTTGTGTGTAAGTTCAGATCGTTTTTTAATAAAGTAACTTTGCAAATGACCAATGACGAGGTAAGTAAATTTACGAGATCAATTTTTATTGAGAAAGCAGCTGTCAACGATGTCAGAAAGTCTGGACTTTAATTAAGTTGTATATAAAGTTGAAAATTCGTAAATTTTTATGTTTTTGGTAAAATTTTGTGATTTCAAATATTCCAAAAGTTCCTTGGAATGTTTTAGTACCCACATCTGATTTACACCACTTCTCGAACATATTGTTGCACAGTACTCTTGAAGTTTCTCCTTCACTGCTGTAAAGTTCTTAGTGGGGAATAAAGAAGGAGGCTTGGTAGAATATTTTGGAACTTGGAAACCGCTATGTATCTTTGTTTGTGGGGTTTTTTATGAAGTTTTGGAATCCAATATAGATATGGTAATTCAAATTCATTTTGGTTATTGGGAATATGAAAAATATTCAAAACTGACATATGATTTTGAAGAACTTCCTCCTTAGAAAGGGAGCTATGGGTATAAGTTGGATTACCACTTATAGAATTAAATCCCAGTTCCTCTAAAATACAAATTATATAATTGAGCCTTGCAAACAAAGACAATGTTGTTACCTGCTTTGTCAGCAGGGACTAGTGCGTATTGATCGTGTAATCTAATTCATTTTTCACTTCTGAATTATTGAATACAGAAGGATAGATGACATAGCTTATTCAATGAAAAACAGCAAGCTTTGAAAAGATTATGTACTAAAAATACTTCATATGTCAACAATCTGTGTGGATTCCTATGCATACCAATTGCGCCCCGTTATTAGCAGACCTATGTTTGTATTCATATGAAGCAGAATTTATTCAAAACCTTTTACATGAGAAAAAGATATCTCTTGTTGTGGCCTTCAACTCGACATTTAGAGATATCGACGACGTATTGTCAATTAACAATAGCTATTTGCAATGTTTTCATCCACACAATATATCCCTGTGAGCTTGAAAAATAAGATACCACAGAGATTGACACATCCCTATCATATCTGGATATTTTACTAGAAAAAGACGTTAATGGTAATCTAACAACAAAGCATGATAAGCGTGATAAACGTGATGACTTAAATTTTTAATTCGTCATCTTCCCTAGCTTACATATGCAGCAATATATCCTTATCACCTGCATATTGGATGTATATCTCTCACTTGATTCGATATGCAAGAGCATGCTCTACGTATTAACAATTTCTGTAAGTTATTGACAAACAAGTTGATGAAACAAGAATATCAACAGTCTCGTTAAAAATCATCATTTCGTAAATGCTATGGTCGATACAATGACCCTGTAAACAAATACAATTTATCAAAAAGTCATATGCTGATAAATATGTGATGTTTTTTTATACTAATTATTAAACACTGAATTGTGGACGGGTTTTTCTGTTATTTCCCGATCATGACAAGAGCACACGACATGTGTGACAGGTCGGAGGGGATGCTAATTCCATGGCACCTGATCCCACCTCTGATGTTTTTGGAGGTCCGTTTTCGCTCTGCTACCAATTTGTATTGTTTTAATGGACTTTGGAGGAACACATGAAACTTAAAAAGCAAAGTAAACGACTAAAGACGTTTTAAACCTCCTAATTTTAACAAAGATCAGTATGCAAATATGCTATTTATCTAAATCAAAAGTACATAAAAATACACATCGTTCACGGTAGCTCAGTCGGTAGAGCGCTCGCTTCGTAATCGGGAGGTCGTGAGTTCGAATCTCGGCCGCGACTGACTTCTAAGTCGATAAAAAATGGGTAGCAACTGTTCCTTCGCCATGCACTCGGCACTTTGAAGTGAAAGTTGCGGGTCCTTCGGATGAGACCTTAAAAACCGAGGCCCCGTGTCACGGCAGGCGTTGGCACGATAAAGATCTATCACTGCTCAATGGCCCTGAGTGCCGAGTAAAGGTCAAAATTTGAAGCCCTTCACCGGTATATGGTGACGTCTCTATATGAGTGAAAAATTCTCGAATGGGACGTTAAACAACATAAAATCAATCAATCAATCAATCAATCAAAAATACACAAATGTTTCTGCATACAAAGAAACAGTGAAACACCTTCTCTAATAAGATTGCGACTTAGCAGTTTGATGTTAAGGGAAGAAAATGAAATTCAAGTTAAAGCTGTAATGCAACAGGGTGTTTGCCACTCGTGTTCCATATTCCAATGTTTTTCTGACTATAGAAATGAATGGGAAACTTACGATTTAATTTTTTCTAAGGTCAATATCCAATATTTATTTAATCACTTCAAAATCGCATATGGCGTTTATTTCTGTCTCCAAGCTGCTCCGGTACACAAGAGCAGTTTCCGAATAAAGACATTTCATAATCGATGTAGGCTAGTGATAAATAAGTTGATGTTATATGGCTTTCTACATTCTTGTTTAAATTCAACATTTAGCAAATGCTATGATCATTATAATGGCATCATTTGCAAATACATTCTATTCTAGTTTGGGTCCGTCACGGTAGCTCAGTCGGTAGAGCGCTCGCAATGTATTCGGAAGGTCGTGTGTTTGAATCACGGCCGCCACTGACCTAAGTTGATAAAAATAGGAAGCAGCTGTTCCTTCGCCAGGCGCTCGACACTTTGAAGTGAAAGATACGGACACTTCGGGTGAGACCTTAAAATTGAGGCTCCGTGTCACGGTAGTGCTGGCACGATAGAACCCTCAAGCTCAATGGCCCCGAGTGCCGAGTTAGTGTCTAAATTTGAAGCCCATCACTGGTATATGGTGACGTCTCTATATGAGTGAAAATTCTCAAAGGGAACGTAAAACAGCAAACAATCAATGAATAATTCCTAGCTTGGATCTTAGTTTGGCTGACATTGTATATCAATTGGTAGGTCATTGATATTTTTTTTTACAAACTCCATGTTTCTTAGAGGGTAGACTGGTTGACAGGGGACGCTAATTCCTCCAAGCTTGGTGCTTTGAGAGATCCGTGTTTTGCCCTGTTCACATTTCGTATTCTGAGTTTGATCAAAGTTCATTATCTTGACCCTTTTTTTTTTAATAAAACATGTTGTAACGTTGGGATAGTGAGGATTAATAACTCTTCTTTTCAGGTGTTGAAAAGCTATGCATCGACAATATATTTAAACAAAAGGACCATTGCTCATAACATCACGTGAGTCATTTTGACCCTGCTGTTCTTCATTAGCTGATCTACGTTTTTTCCTCTTTAATTTCAGGAGAAAAAAAATTGACTCCATATTGTGGACAAAAACCTAGCGCTAAGAGAGCTATGATTTAATCAAAGTTGAATCCACACAACATTTGGATGCTTCAATATCAATACAATCAACAAGGACCTGTTCAAGCTGATGTTCATGAACGGACTATCTTTTTTCTTGTACACACAGGGTTGGCCCAAAATCAGCGATCCGTATTTCATTAATGAAAGTAACTTAATCCGGGCTGGGACTCATAGTTCAAAAACAAATTCCACATAACTTAGGTATGATTTACCTTCTCATATGATTTTGTGCCGTGGTGCATCTCTTGAAAAGATTTTTTTCGATATAGTTTCATGTAAGACCCTGAGCCCTTATTGTAGCTTAATACCTCACATGCTTGTATATCAATAGCATTAGTAATAACTTTGCTGTTTATAAGAGGAAGAATTTTAAAGTTTTCTAACATAGTTCCGTTAAAAAAAATTGAGCCTTTGTTGTGGCCCAACCCAACCCCGGGTTCATGAATTGGGCAACTGTGATGAGACTTTATCATGTTTCATATTTTCTGGCCCGATGGTTCGTGGGAATAATATTTTCAAAAGATACAAGTATATTTTCATAAATTTATTATTATCTCCCTTCCGTTGAAATTGGCACAGTACGGCGATTCTATATAAGAAGATGAAATCAGGGGAAAATTTCTGACATCGGCCATGACGAAATTACAGACAACGGACAAATTTTGATCAAATAAACTCACATGAGCCTTTAGCTCTGATGAGTTAAAAGTAAAAAAAAATATTTTAGATCAAATTTTCGTTCAATCTTTCGAACATAAATATATATACAGACATAAAATGTCGTTTATGAGCACAATCAAAATTTCTATTACGTCTTGTGAACCGCAAGGAAGGTAAATATCTTTTTAAAATCGTCTACATTTGCGATTTCTCACATCTTTCTTATATACATTTACTCTTTAATCACACATTCTGAATTTATTCCCACGGTAAAATATTGACTGCAGAATAACCTGCAATTCAATGAATTATTTATATATGATGATGTATGCATATTATTTATGTACAATTTTTTCATTTTTTCGCTAAAAACATTAACCTTAGGAGTTAATTTTAGCTCAGTTTAAACAGAAATCTTCCAATTGAGGATCTCAATAATACACTGAAAGCAATGCCAAAGATATGATTGCATATAAGTTTCTAGACACAGAAAAGCGTCAACGATCCATTTGCTATTGAAGTACATGTATTGTATATTACTTCCAATATCATTTATCGCTTCAAGTTTAAATTGTGTTAATTAAGGAACTTAATTACTACATAATTTTAGTACATAACTAGGAGGATTTGGTTTTCGTAGTTTCCAAACCTTTCTGTTTTTAAGACTTTCTCTAGTATGTCTCACCATTTTTAGATGAATTTTTAATCGTTAATGTATAATTGCCAGTTTGTGTTGTATGTTTTTTACTTGAATGTATTCTAGTGGATATTTTGTTTTTGAATTTTATAAATTTTTTTCACTTACTAGAATTTTGTACATTTTAATGTTGTATTCTATATTGCCTACACTATCTTCATCTTTCCTTACCTTCACATTTGGGCTGTCTTTTTCCCCAATCCCAGTAGGCATACTTTCCATCCACACTCTTGACACAGTTTGTGATGTTAGGACCATCCAAAACAGATCCTAATTTGCATGAAAAATAACACCTCGCACCATATTGATATCCCCAAGGACAATTCACAGACAGGAAATTATTACCATAGAGTCGTCTGCAAGTTAACACTGAAAAATAATAGAAAAAGATTGTTTTGATTACATAATTATTTTATAACATTCCACCTGTTTAATGTTTTGATTTAAAGCCCTGAAATAATGCTCGCAAGACAGGTGTAAGGTGCAGAATGAATACCTCTCATAGACAGTGTCACAGTACATGGTCTAGCCGTGTTGCCTGTCTCATCTACAGCTGTGTATTTTACATAGTGTGTCCCTGCCTCAATCTTGTCTCTGGGTGAAATGGTGCCATTCTTTTGTAAAACAATGCTCTTGTCAGCATTGTCGTACACGTATGGCTCGTCCCAGTATATCTCTCCTATTGTAGAATTTTCATCTGCTGTTCCGTAGGCAAAAGGGGTGCAGTTTTTTATTTCTGGCATTAGAATGTCTAAAACAATGAAACAACTTATCATTTTTGCTTATAACTTTGCTTATAATTTAATTCAGGTTGCCACGCTTTATTTGATTGAATAAAGAATTAGTTCGTATGGTATAACCTGTGTTTTCCACGTCACAATAACTTACGTTAAAAATATCAATCCGCTTGACGTTACATTTAAAGCATGTACAACTTGAAGGCATTCTAAAGGAGAAATTGTTTAATTATTTTGAAATATGAGGATAACGAGCAGTAATTATGCTCAAAAGGCCATTTAAAGAATACAAATTAGGTACAGAGCAAACACGGATCTCGAAAAACATCAGGGTAGGGATCAGGTGTCATGGAAGAGTAAGCATCCATTGTCGACCGGACATATACCCGCCGTGTGCTTCTTGTCATGATTGGGTAAACGGAGAAGTCCGTAGACAGTTCAGTGTAAAAAAAAGTCTATCAATTTGTAGAAAAAACATCGGTCAACATTCAACTTAATGATAGATTGTTTTTGCCGACAAAATCATTATATCGACCATAGATTTTGCAAAATGTTGACTTCAAAGGAGACTTCTGATATCCTTGTTTCATCAACTAACATGTAGTAGGAATTGTGCGTACGTAGCTCTTTCGTTATTCCTTATATTAAAATTTTAAAACTTTAAGCCCAACAAAAGAACACTCAATATTTAAATTTTCTGCGGTTCTGTTTCGTGGTAAATATAGCTTATTGTTTGTAAAATTGTAATTTGACTCTTCTCGAAAATTGTCACATCATTTACAGTCACGATAGACCAAAAAAGTATTTTCAATAATATAGGGTTATTATACCTCTACTGATTTTTCACTAATAAGAGTAAATCGATATCTATTGCTAATTCCCTGAACATCACCGTAGAAAGACCGATTACCTGCAAGGAAGTGCGTCAGTTTGATAAACTGATACGCACCAATAATTTGGAACACCTTGCAATTTCTTTTAATCAAATGATGTTCCAAATAAAATCATGGATATTCCATAGAAGTTAGTTAAGTTACATATAAAGAGGAGGCGGAGCATAATAAACAGAATATTGCTTGTAAATTCATGTATTCTATATATCAATTTATTCAAATGCAATGCTTTTCTTTTGAAATTATTCATTTGTATTGCACTGCGTAGAATTGGTATTAATTGGTGTAATTTTTCCATCGGTATAATAGAACATTCAAAGTATATCATTGAGGGAGTTCCATCGCCTTCGCTGCGGGAAGTTTGCTCAATAGGAACTTGAATCTTGCTGACTCCCTCATTGATATACTTCAATTGTACATTCTTTAATTGTAATTGCTCATTCTTGATTATTTATTTGGATATCAGTTACACTATTCTTTAAGAATAAAAGTGTTAGCGTGCACCCTCACCTTCACATGGTGGGATTGAACCTAGCCAACTTCCATTTTTTCTGCAAAGTTTGACCCTTCCTTGTCCCGAAGGAATGTCAAACCCGGGGGGACATATTACTGAACATTCACTTCCGTATCGTTTCCCATTAGTACACGTGTAATTAGACCCGTCGTTTCTATGAGGAAGTGATGGACATTGGATCTCTAAAATAAGACAGTAAAGAAAATATTAATTTTAACAGATAACTGCAGTATCTTTTTTATACTATTGAGAGAGCTAAGAAAATACGAAGAAGTGAATATCTTAAGAGAAAAAAAACCTTCACAGGTGGGGAAATCTCCATTCCATGTCCCGTTACTCTGACATTCGAGATGTTTTGAACCATTAAGAAAGTAACCATGGTAACAATTAAATTCACATCGGGTTCCGTATCTTATGTCGTAATAGTCACAGTGTCTAATCACTCCATATGTTTCACTGAATGAGCATTGGGAGACTAAAAACGTATATATTTTGAGGATAAATTTTTTATGAAAATCGGTCTCTTCTTCACCTTTACTGCATGATAAACAATATTTGTGTCAAGGATGAATTTTTTTTTTATCTAATACCTGTTACGGTAATGGTAAAGGAGCATGTTGCCATGTTTCCGATAGCGTCCTGGGCTGTGTAACTTATTAAAGTCTTGCCCTGGAAGGTGTCTCCTGGTTCCTGGGTCGATATTTTCTTCACTCTACTTATACTTATATACAGAGAGACAAAGGGTTACATTGTAGACAACAGATACAGATGTTTGAATGCTGTAAAATCACTTGTTTTAATGGGGTCATCATTTCGTGGCTTGAAAAATAGATATTGAAATTGTATTACAAATATAGTTAATTGATATTATATTACAATTTGTTTAGGACGTGAAATCTGAGGGTTACAAATGTATTTTAATTACAGAAACAACGAAAATTGAACCCTCACGAAAATCAGTGATTTCGCACTGTAAGAAGAGTAAATGTGTGTCAATCCGCATGAAAATTTTATTTATCAACATTTTAGACAGTGAATTATTAAAAAAAATTACATTACAGTTCCGCCTGTGGCATCTTTCGCCTGTGGCTCTGTCCAATTAACAGTCTTAGTTCGCGTTCCTCTATCTGCTGTCACAAATTTATCACTGGAGCAATTGGTGAAGTAAGGACGGGTTGTGTCGACTTCAAATAGAAAAATTAAATCAAATTTGATATAATTGTGGTTGTAAAATAAAATTCGGTCTTTTAAAACTTTAATAAAGTGACGAATACATAAATCGCACGTAATTAAAAAACAGACCTGATGGGGGACAGAACAAGCATGCATTCTGAAAAAAGAAAATGATATAGAAAAAAAACGTGATTTATATTTTAATTCCATGTCAACTTTTATAAAATAATTGATAGAATACTTACTTTTCCATGAGCGTAAAGATATTGAGAAATGTAGATTCCGCATAATAATAAATATCGAAGACTCATTGTGGATGTCTTAATAAAATATTTTAGAGATGAAATCACTTTTATAGAGAAAAAAGGGAGTGATTAAGCGCAGTTTGACAGGAACTTTTGGTGAAATGCCAATATGATAATGATATATATGGACGTTTTATTATATTATTGTTATACAGTGACATTCCCTCATCAAATACAGGTAAGTCTATTTCAAGTGGAATAAAATATTGAATAAACCCATATTTTTACCTTATAAAGCATATAAGAATGTAAGTTGAGAATAAATGCATGCTTTATTCCAGTTTTTTCACTCCCATAATGTAATTCAAAATCCTCATTTAGTATTAGAAAAAAGAAATCAAAAGTATAGTATTGGTCGTGAACAATTAAGAACATTACAGACTAATCACTGTAAAGCTTTGAGAAATACAATACAATCGCTTATTGTCCCAATGTATTTCTTAAAACCAATTCTTGGAATGCAAATACATGATATATGGAGATAACGAACAGTATTCAAGCTCAAAGTAAAGAAAAATAATGAATAATTATATATTAAGAAGATTGGATTGTTTGATTTGAACATATTTTATTTTCTTTAAATTTTATAACTGGGATCAGGCAAAAGTTCTTCAAAAAAAATCTTCATACGCCCTTTCCCTACATATGAATTACATCAAACAATTTCAAACACATGGATTTTAGCCTAAAATGATTAAACACAGATAAACATGATAATTGGATGATCTAACATTCAATAGGATACACTCATAATATAATACACAAGTTGAATAGAATTTGCAAGGAATGATTATTGCATCAACCAAATTAAAACGACCTGACTTTTTAATAAATGATCATTGCATCAACCAAAACTTTTTAGTAAATGTATTCTTGATATCGTTTAACGATTCATTTCCCCAGAGTAAAGTACGAATGTTAACAGTATGTAAATTCCCAAACGGCAAATGTTTTTCGAAAAATTCTTTTCTGGCTTCTGTATATTTTTTGCATGAGAAGAAATAATTATGGGTATCCTCCTCTCTTCCACAAGAGCATATGGGACTCAAAATTACATGACATCGAAAAAATTGCTATTTAGCACACAGGTGTGTCGATCGCGTCGAATTCCACTACCGAAGTAAGAGGGTGACATAAAGGTTTTTTTTTATAAACAATATATATTTTTAGAGAAAGATAATGGGGAAGAAGTTCTCTCAACAAAAGGTAATGAATTCCGTTCGTGAATAACAACGGGAACAAGAGTTGACTTATAGGATTGTAATCTGCGTAACTATGTTATACACTAGACAAAATTGCTAACGCACCACTTATTATTCTTATTTGTGAATTGATCATATGCATTTTCCTGAATGGTACTTGTATATAAAATATGTCATCTTTTCCAAAACAGTTGAATTGACAAATATCTTAGTGTCATGACAAGACCCTTAAAGGACCTACTTGTCCGAAAACCAATTTCCCGACGTGCACGGCGCACCGTTTTTGCCAAGATATGAAGTTCGTGATTACCGATGGTGGTCCGTGACGTTGCGACGGGAGCAGTCTCCCACTTAAAAATCAAATGATATACCCTGATTGACTACCATATCGCTTAGTAGTCATCCAAGGCCTTGGCGTCCCCACCAAATCCACCCAACTTCCGGTTGCCCCAATTCTGCGGAGCAATCTTGAAATTATTTTGTGATGCTCACTTAATGCCGTCGATATCTATTGTAAACATTTTTATGATCGTTAATTCATTTTCAACAATTTTTCACCAGAGAAATTCATAATTATTTAATTCTTTTATTTTTTCACAAATTTCTTCAAAGGACCCCCCTGCAGACACCACACGCTGCCTTAGCACGATCTTCTAGAGTCAAACGCCGCATACGGTGTAACTTTTTTCTGAGTTTTCAGCTCTACTGGTCAGAGACCAGGCCCCCGGATCATGAAACATCTTAAGCTTGAGTCAAAATCTTTATATTATATTGAAATGTTGCAAAAATCAAGCAGACTAAAATTAAAATATTTTTCAATATTGCTTCACAAAAGTGTTGTTATCTACAAATTTAGAGATATATTCAATAATTAATGAATATTTTATAGGCGATTGAAAATTTGACTTAAGTCTAAGTTTGTTTCATGATCCTGGGGCCAGAAGAGCTTATGCGATAGTAGTGTGTCCGTCGTCCGTCCGTCTGTCTGTCTTTCCGTCTGTCTGTCTGTAAACAATTTTTTAAAATGCTACTCCTCCTACAGTTTTGATCTGATTTCAGTATAAATTGGCACACAAGTATACTACACTAAGATACATAATTCTGTATATCGGTTTTTGATTTCGATGAACGGTGTTGTCATGGTTACTAAAAATAGAAATTTCTGTGAAATACGTTCAAAATGCTACTCTTCCTACAGTTTTGGTCGGATTTCAATATAACTTGGCACACAAGTAGACTACACTAAGATACATAATTCTGTGTATCGGTTTTTGATTTTGATGAACGGTGTTGCCATGGTTACTAAAAATAGAAATTTCTGTGAAATACATTCAAAATGCTACTCCTCCCACAGTTTTGGACTGATTTCAATATAACGTGGCACACAAGTAGATCACACTGAGATACATAATTCTGTCTATCATTTTTTTGATTTTGGTGAAGTGTTGCCATGGTTACAAAAAATTGAATTTCTTTGATATACTTTCAAATCATTACTTTGCCTACAGTTTGGACTGATTTTAATATAACATGGCATGCAAGTAGACTACACTGAGATACATAATTGTCTTAATTGATTTTTTGATTTTGATGAATAATTGTTACTAAAATCGAAATTTCTCTAAAATACTTTTAAATGGCTACTCTTTCTACAGTTTTAGTCTGATTTCAATTCATCTTGCCACAAAAAGAGAGTAAAACAAGGATTATTATTTATTGCTGTTGCAAAGTTTCAAGTCTAAGTGAGTGCTACTTTTCTCTTCCTTAATTGTTATAAATACAAACCAGTAGAGCTACAGTCTCGACAGAGTAAGGAGTTGATCCTTACGTCGCTGTGGGACGTGGAGACAGGTCCTTCGGATGAGACCGCATAAACCGAGGTCTCGTGACGCAGTAGGTGCTGGCACGAAAAAGATCCCTCACTACTCAATGGCCCTGAGTGTCGAGTATTCAAATTTTGCAATTCTCCACGGGCAAGTGGTGGCGTTCCAATATGAGTGAAAATTGCTCTAGTACTTTCGCTTCTTTTATATAACTGTCACGGAGCTCAGTCCGTAGAGCGCTCGCTTTGTGTTCGGAAAGTCGAGTGTTTGAATCACGGCCGCGACTGACCTAAGTTGATAAAAAAAAAATGGAAAGCAACTGTTCCTTCGCCAAGCGCTCGGCACTTTGGAGTAAAAGAAAACGATGTGAGACATTCGGATGAGACCTTAAAATCCAAGGTCCCGTGTCACAGGCTTTGGCACGATAAAGTACCCTCGCTGCTCAAGGGCCCTTAGTGCCGAGTAAAGGTTTGAACTTGAAGCCCTTCAATGGTATATTGTGACGTCTCTAAATGAGTGAAAAATGAGTGAACGTAAAACAGCATATAATCAATCAATCAATTTTTTATATACTGGTTCCCATCCAGTTTCGAGGTAAAATGAATCTTGAGAAGCTTTAGAGTTACACCTGTGCATAATTTTTTCCCTAAATATTCGCTTTTACCTACATTACATCAAGTTTTGTACACGTGTGAAAGAGTTTTCCGGTTGAGTACAATTTTTTTAATACCCCAATCTTTTATACACATTAGCAAAAATAGTATCAATATGTTTAGACCAACAAAGATCATGTGAGAAAAATTCCTAAAGAACAAATTCTAGCTGTTTTACTGGAGAAAAAAGTTAGGATAATGAACACTTATTCTCAAGCTAAAAAATCTCTTTTTTTAAGGATTAAATCCAAGAAGCCATTTTTTGGAACAAGTTTCTGGTATTGGCAAGGTCAGCATTCAGTTTGTTTTCGATAGCATTGACATTTTCGGAGGACTGCTTTGGGGGCTTATCATTTAGGATCTGCAAATAATCTACAAAAATTTGTCATTTCTTCAGCAACACCATCAACATATATAACAAATAATAGAGGTCTTAATACTGAATCTTGAGGGATACCGGTGTAAAGACGAATTATGACCCCTAGAGAATAATGACCGGGTCAAATAATGACCCCCGGTCATTATTCAACGGCGAAAAATGACCCCCGGTCATAATTCGACGTCGATAAATGACCCTTTTGCCCGTAGAAAAAGTGTCATCGCCCTAAAAATCTGCATACCCTACGTGAAGAAAAATGACCCCCGTAGAATAATGACCCCTTGCAGATTAAAGTTTAAATATTTAGGGGGCAAAAAAAAAATAGATCAAGAGCCTTGTTGGCAAAATTGTTCAACAGAGCTTAGTTGGGAATAAATCGATGATACATGTATGTTGATTTCACTACATTATACAATTATTGCTGTTTTTAAGGTCAATGCGATGATTCAAAATCTTGAGGAGTAAAAGATTTATCGAGCCCAAAGGGCGAGGTGAACATTGTTTTTTGATGGTGGAAAATCATCGTACTGAGAGAAAAAAACAGCAATAATTGGTTTATTTCATGATTTAACGATTAAGGACAGACGATACGTTCCTCAAAAATATATAGTTTTTTCTAAGATTTTGTCACTGAAGTAT